CGGTTGCTCGACCCGGTCGTCGTCATCAGTCGTCACGACGACCAACAATCAACACACAACACAGCTGTCACTATCGCTACACGCATCGTTGCACGTGCGCAGATATGCGTGACGCTACTCGAATCTGTCAGATAGCTTTCTGTAATCGTGTTGCACATTAAAAAAAAAAAGAGAAATCATTCTCTGAATGCGAAATATTACATATTATATAGTAACAAGTGTCAAACCTTGACGTCCTTATTCGTGCAAATTTAAGAAGTGTTATTTATTGACCAGCGAGTTATAGAGAAGTTAAACAAAGGAAACGGCAAATACGTTTATCCTGCTTGAATCAAAGGAAAAGAGGAACATTATCATTCAAAGCGCATTAATTCTCAATAAACACGAGACATGTTCCATTCTCTAGATAGCAATTATTGGGTGATCTCTAATTGTGTTTCTAATTGTTGTTTACGACATCGGTAAATTTAGAGAGATAATACAAATACACACGATCCAACATTTCTAAAAGTATTATGTATAAACTAGGTACAAGCCCTGATAAGATAAACTTCCCAGTGACCAGTATTTAAAGTGACATATGTATTTAAAAACTATATCTATACAGACACTTACACATACAAAATTTATTATTATTAATCTCAAATGCTTTTTTTAAATAAAAAAGCTTTTTATTTAAAAAAAAGCATTTGTGAGATTAACAATAATATAAATAAATATAAAGTTTTGTGTAAATGTTTGGATCTAAGTATTAGACATGTCTAATCACTGAGACGTTTAGAAATTTTATACATTTTTTAAACAGTTGCTGAATGGTTATATTAACTTTTTATAGCAACTGAGAAGAAAAACTACTTAAAATTCCAATCAAGATGTAACGCTTTGTCTGTAATTACTGCGGACAAAAGATGCGGACAAAAGATGCGGACAAAACTGCGCAAAATCTGAATCGTTTTACTGAACAGAAACAGGACTAAATGGATTACACAGTATTTTAATAATAATCTATTAGTACTAGACAACTGGACAAGTGTCTGGGAAAATTGCACATATTTTTATCAAGAAAATTGCTTCGTTCACTGAATAAAACTCTATTATGTTCTTATCCATTTCTTACGCAGGATTGTTATGACTAATAAAAATAATACAATAGTATTAGATGATAACTAAATAGGTGTCTAAGAAAACTGCATACATTTCTACCAGGAAGTTGCAATAAAAATATATAAACGTTCAAAAGCGTTACGCGAGAGAAATCTCTTTTTCTCTCTTTCTCTCTCTCTCTCTCTCTCTCTCATTTTAATCGCTAAATACATAATTGAATTTTACGAATGTAATAAATCTTTCGTATCAAAGAGATAATAAAAGTGTTCTTGCGAGCAGATACTTTGTAAAGATTCTCTCTCTCTCTCTCTTCCTTTCAACTCCGCAAAAAGTTTCAAGATACGTCAGATAATGAGAAGTTATAAAGCATTTCCCGCGCGAGTTCTCTCTCGGTTTTCTTTGGCTGCATTATGCGGATGCCTTGTAAATTTATGGAGCGTGCATACTTGCGCCTTACGAGCGTTTACGCGATCGAAAAGTGTGCGTGCGTTGCGGCCGCTCGTACCAAGGCCGCAACGTCGAACCGCCTCTTTTTCGGGCCCGACGGACAACACGATTTTCCCATTCGATGCCGTCTATCGCCTCGCCAGAAAATTTCACGCATTAAAGAGTAAAGAGAATTTCAGGGAAATTTTTTTTTCGAGGACAGAAAGGAGGGCTATGATTCCATCAAGTGTTTTCTATCTAGGCGATTGCTCCGGCAACGCCATATGCTCCGACACTGCAAGGCCGACCACGATGTTTCCTCATCGGCCAGCGACGCCACGATAATGATCCATGGATCCACAGCCTAGATCGCCATATTCCAGACGCTCAGTCACGTCACGAACGCGATTGCGCGCGTATGTTACTCGATTAGCTGCTCCACGTCGATCAAAACGGCTCGAGAGAGTGTCCCTGTTTGAGCCTTTTTTTTGACGACGCTTCCTCTTTTAAGGCCGGCGACAACTTTATGTAGCAGTCGAACGGTTTTCACGCGGTGAGTCAACCAAGTTATCGTTCGAAGACTTTCTCGTAAGAATTGTTGTAGTATAAACGTGTCCTTGGTCCTTATTGTGTCAAACATCATGGTGAATATACTACTGTTTATTATATATTACTGTTTATTATTGTAGTATATATATTATTGTAGTACTTATTTTAGAAAAGAAGAAAGAGGGAGAAGATTAATTAGATTGCCTAATGACATAACATCACGCTATACTTGATGTTTCGCGCGAGTACCTACACGGAGAGAATTTTTTCTTAGAATTTATCCTGAAAATATGACAATTGTGAGACAACATTGTATTTCAAAAAATTTTAAATCTCTCTCATTCATTAATAAAACTACAATAAGGTAAATATAAATAAATACAATAACTATAAAATAAGTTTGATTAATTTTACTGAAGTGCATGATAAAAATCTTTAAAATATTGTATTGTACCACAACTATCATATTTTCAGAGTAAATTTTAAAAGAATATTCTCTCCGTGTATTTTTGATTACTTTAATGTCGAAGTAATAATTTTCAAATTGTGATTGATCACCAAACCAAAGAAATTTTCAAACAAGTTAGTAAATACGAGCAAACTATAACAAATATTCTTCGTTCAACGTCAAGTAAATTTTATATTAAAAGAGTTGATTAATTATTTAATTAACATTGAATGATTAATTGATTAATTAACGCTGCTAGCACAAAATTAATTAATTAAATTTATTGATATAAAATTAGTTAATTAAGGGTACATCATATAAATATTTAATGACGAAAAATACAAACAATTATTACTTGAAGATTTTATTTAAAAAATATCGATTTTAAATTTGCATAAAGAATATGATCGGAGTAATACTTGTGATATTTTTTATGTACATACGTACATTTTATATACTCGTACATACAAGATTTCTCATAATAAGGCCACACCAAATAATAAGTGCAAATAGAAATAATGTGAAAAGTGTAAATATTATCATCTGAAATGTATATCACATTTTGAGATAAATATTTTTCGTGTAAATAAATATTTGTTATGTATATTTGCTATAGATAACATTTGCTATAGAATTAAAATTATATGTTGTTATAATTAATAGATATTGTGTTAATTTAATATCATTTGTTACTTATTTTTTATGATATTGATTTAAAAATAAAATATATTATGATGCAAAAGACCTTTCTATAAATAATTTTTATGAATGCCGATCCCTTTAATACTAATCCTTTTTTTTAGAGAAAAAGATCTTTCATTTCTTATAACACCGAAAAAGATGTACATTTTTTAATAAAGCGAAATATATTATTATATTTAATAATTTTTGCAAACATGTGTTCTTGGAAAAAGAAACCAATGAATGTTTATTTGATATAAATAAGAATAATCTAAAAGTAATAATTTTAACGTAGTATTCTTTAAATAGAATTCCACTAAAAAGAAATTCTTTTAGAATTTTTTTTTTTTTGTGATTATTGTTGTATTTTTGACATTTACATAATCATCGGAATGCAAGGGCACTATAAGTGCACTTTTACATTCCGCAATATACTGCGGATTGAGTGACATTTTTGCGTCGTTGTTCAACGAGCATTTCTTATCGTTGGTTATCGAGTCATTAACGAAACGAATTGTTATGAGGGTCTGAATTTTATCGCTTAACTAATGTCTCGATCTTTCTTGGTTATTGATGTTTCTTGGGTAACATTCGTTTAGCTCACCGTGTATATGTTTGTCTAATTATAAGAAGTAATAGTGTTTTTTGCAAGTAACTTCTTTTGTTGATTTAACAAATTGCATCTTGTAAATATCTTTGTATCATAATATTATTAATATTATTTTAAATTACTTTTCAACATATAAATTCCAAGTTGTAGTGGAAATTATTTGATATCTTCCTTATGTCTGCAAAATATAACATAAGAGATAACGTTTGTTCCAGAACTAGTAAGCTTTATACATACATGATAAAAAGTTTATCATTTATATTTATGAATACGTACGATTTATTTTTTTTAATTATGCATACTTATCGCGTAATCGAGTAATCGCGTACATGTGCAAATATGAAAATTAAGCGGATAACTAAGACAACAAGACTGAAAAATAGATATGTTGGAAGACGCGAGAAATCGCACTGTACAATTAAAGATGAATCACGCGTCGTACATTCAGAGCCTCGTAATAATTACAAGAAATTACGTAAAAAGACGGATAGCGTCCATAGAACTTTACACTTATCCAGCAGTGTCGGGTTAAACTTCTTCCGGACCTTGGCTGCAGCGACTATCAAAGAACCTTTTCTCTTTTCACATAATAGGAATATGGGATACAAGGGATAAAATATTTAGTAAAATAATAATATTACACGAAAATTCTAAGTGAAATGTGACAGGAGAAGTTTATAAAAATATTATTTTGTTAAATCTTAAGATATATCTTCCCAGACAACAAAAAATGTCTAAAATCGGATCATAAAACGTTTTTTACGTTTAAAAGACGACTTAAAGATGTCTTATGTCACAATTTTAGACTTTGTGTTGTTTGGGTTGCCGCTTAATTTTAATTTTTAAATATTTATTTAATCGTATGTTTTTTCTATTTTTAACTTCCATGTGTGTCAAAATGTAAATCAACCCATTTCTGTAGTTAGTTCCAAAATAAGCAACATTGATATTATCTTAGTAAATAATTAACTAAATTTGAGTCCAATTTATAATACATTTTCTCGAGTTAAATTATTTAACATTGTTTTAGTTAATTAACGATATATAGAGTAGAAGCAGTAGCGATCTATAGAAATGATTAAAGATAAAACTCAAATTAGATATATATAATTTGACATTACAAATTTAACAGTGAAAAACCTCTTTATTATGTCAGGTATCGAAGAGATATCATCGCTTCCTTCTCGACATGAGTAACGAAAGTAATAAAGGGCCACCAAGTGCCATAACATTCGGCTTCTCAATATTGACGCATTTCCTACTGGTGGCTCCGGTGATATATATCTTGGTACTTGCCTTTGGGAATTACAATTTCTTCTCTTGGCATCCGATTTGTATGTCTGTTGGGGTAAGTATAGAAAAAATAAAAGAAAACCTCTATTTCAGAAAAACTGAAACAGACAATTTAATTTCTAGTCAATTAGTGTGTTGTTACAGATGTCTTTTATCACGATAATATATTTATCACGATAATAATTAATCAGATAAAACATAATGATTAAACAATGTTTAATCTTTTCATTCCAAGATTGTATTAAGATTTAATATTTCTCTATCTCGTGGCGAAGGTCGGTCTTCTAATCACAGAGGCTGTCTTCAGTGTCTCCGGTGAAGCATACATCGCTTGGAAGTTACCCAGGCGTAACAGAGTGACAATACACTGGATTCTACACACAATTGGCCTGACCCTAATCGGGATCGGTTTTATTATCATCATCGTTAACAAAGTCAAGTATAATAGATCCCATTTTGCAACAACTCATTCGCAGCTGGGCTTAACGACGATTATACTATCCTTCCTGACCGCTGTTTTCGGAGTCCTGGCGAACAACACCGTCTGGATATATCCACACATAAAGCCGGTGCTCATCAAGATCGCTCACGCTTGCGGTGGCATCAGCATAACCATTCTTTTATTGGCTACCCTCATCACCGGAATCTACACCCATTGGTGGTTTAACTCCGGTGGTACCAGCACCGGAAGAGACTTGACGTTCACGTCGCTGTTTTTCGCGGGCTTCTTCATACTCTTGAAACCGATACTCGGCACCGTTTCGAGGTGCAGAGTCGTATTCGGACCATCTTCGAGCGACTCGTAAGGCCTATCGAGAAAGTCTGACAGAGATCTAAAAAAAGATTTGATCATGTCGAGACGCGGACGAACGACGTACGAAAGTTGCAGTCCAGAAGTAAAATGCTTATTCAATCGATCAGTGAAAAATTAAATTGCCTTCGGAATTATTAAACTGATTAAATTTTGCTTGAAGAACTAACAGTTATGGAGTTTAGTTTCGGCGAATGACTTAAATATTCTCGACGCAACTCTTGTAAAATACCCAACGGAACGGTGAAAAGCCAAAGATTGTAGAATTAATCCCAGTTATTTGAAGTTATACCTTATCGGTCCCTTCAGGGATGTTGTTTGTATGAATTGAAGAAGGTGTCGTATTAGAAATCAATCGTGGCGAAAACCAATGGATCAGAGATCGAATGGCTATGTATATCAACACTTTATTGATACACACATAACACAAATGTTTATTACACATTACAAATTTACACGTATTACATATGTGCACGCATGCATATGTAAATATATTTGTGGATGTGTTCGTAACATATACATATCTTTTTTATAACGCAATGTACATACATATATAATAACACAACATATTTATTTGATATTTTTCAATATCTTTATACATATACGATATATATGTATAACTCACATATATATTAACATGCAATCATCATCCTAAACTATTGTTAATAATTTTCATCGTTTGAGAGAACCCGGTCTCCCTATTTTTTAATTTTAAACAGATTACTTAAATTATACTGCTGTACGTCAACATATGCATATATGTTTTAATTTGTTATCTATTCAAGACATATGTACGATATAATCATTTCTATCTTTCTTCATATTGTATAAGTCTCTCTCCTAATGCTGTATATATATTCATTCAAGGCATTATTAATCATTATGTATCCTGATTGTACGCCGTTCAGCATGTTCTACATTAAGACACAACTAAAATATTATCTTTGGTTCTACAATAAAATTATTCTTTTTGCAGAAATATTTGTTCTAATGATAATATTTATGCCACCGTTATTAATGTAAAAAAAAATACATTTCCTCACGCGGATTCACCGCAAATAGTTTTGAGAAAAAATTCCCTTTTCCATTAACTTTCTTTCATGAAGAAAAGAGGCTTCCCCTAAAGGAAAGCATCTTTTTCCTATCAGATGCTGCAACTAGGACACATTAATTTGTACTGTTCGCTCTACTGGTTATTCGTAACGACATTAGAACCGTAATCATCACCGCGATAACAGATTCTTAAGTATTCAGTATGACTGTAACGCAAAACAAAACTTGTAGTTGTTCTATTTCTTGCAATTCTACTTTAAAAAATCTTTACTTGATATTATCGAAAGGTACAAAGTACACATTTTCTTCAACGTGGAGACATGTTTGAAGAAATTACTTCTGAAATAATTAATTTGATTGTTATTTGATATTGATATGAAATCATCATGTTATCATCGTGTTATCACGATTCGTAATGCGTTACTGCTCTTATATAATTTTACTTATTATTATAACAGAGTCAACCAACTCACTTGGCCGATAAAAGAATCAGCAACAGTGACTAAGCATTATATTAATTGTCATTATTTCACACGGTGAGGTATATACTTTTACTATCATTGTGTGGGAAATCGCGTCACATCAGTTAACTAGTGCATGATCTTCAAAAAACATTAAAGTTATTGAACATTTAACTGGCTTGATGGAACATTTGCCGAGGAGGGAAACAGTCACATGTGTATATCTAACGGCGCTTTTACAATATAACATTGGCTCTAAATTTTAAATTTCTTGCTCTTAAAACATGGCTTACTAAAATACATTTTTTTCATCTCATTTCTTTTTTTGCTTCAAGCTAATATCTCAGATACGTGACAGTATATACGTTCAATTCTATAATCCGACGTGCATTATTCGCAATGGTTTAAAAATCGTAAATTTCTTGAGTTTTCGAGCCATTTACATTTACTATTATCTCTACCACTAAAGTCTTTGAATTTCTAATTTTGAAGTTATTTTTGATCTTCGTTATGAATAAAAGCTTTGATATTCGATTCGTCTACTGTCAATTTATAGGCATTAAGCGACTTATGATCCATTTAGTTCGTAATATTCAAACAGGATAAAAATTTCAAAAATATCTCGCACTCAAAATGAAAGTGCGAAGATTAGTATACACTGACTTTCTGACGTAGCGTATTACGCGGCAAAAGTGAAGACTATTCCAAGCAAGATATGCTCGGAATGATTGGCATATAGATATTATAAATATTCGCGTATATGCAAAATTTCTTTCAGACAACTAAGGCCACTCTTTTTACTTACAAAGTTTTCCACTTATTCGGAATTAAGTTTACCTTGAAAAAGTTATCAAGATGTTAGTTGAAACACAAATCATCCGCTAGATTATCAGTTAAATTATCCAAGAAATACTTTCCATAAAAATAAAGATCGCGGTTTTTCCCGTTATGAATTATTACTCATTGATAAATCTATATTTCCTTCTCCATAAGTTACAATAGGTCTCGCGATTTTCCTTGTAGGTACTTCTTATTATCATTTTCTTCAGCGTATCCAAAATGTCTAATCTATTCCCTGAATGTCTTTACACGTCAAAGAGATATGTATTTATAATATCTAATATCTAATATCTAATATCTAATCTCTTTGAACAATTTACGTCTACATGATGTATCCACAATATTTATCTACAATATATCTCTAGATTATACACTTATATTTACAATTATTAAAAATTGATATACATCAAATATATCTTGATTTATTTTTATCTTTTCACATTGCTCACTTCTTTCTTTAATCTTTTTGTTGTATTTGCAAAATGTAATTATAAACGTGCTTTTACGTATATATATGTAATTTATATTTTCTTCACAATGAAAACGGTCCAATTTTTAGAAATAAATATTTTTCTATCGTGAAACAATAATTTTTTTGTATGTGATACCTTTCATTATAAGTATTTGGTAGATATTAGATAAAATATTCGCTCTATAAAATAATAATACTGTCTATATATCACTTTTTATAATCCTTTCCAACTTTTTTTAAGTACTGACAGTTTTACATTTTGTAATGTCGCTTGGCCATTAAAAATTTGATATCAACAATTTATTTAAGCTCCGCTGACAATATCAAGAAGTTACTTGATAGATGTTAGCTTCTTTATCAGTACAAAGTATTGCAATTTTAATTTATCACAAAAGAATAAAGGATTTTTTTTACAAATATTAGTAGACTGTATATAGTTAAAAAATATATTATTTCCTTCATTTCTTGAATGCAATCGGTCATAAAGATCATGCCCAATGAAAGTTATACAATTTTTAATAAAACTCGAGTTTACGAAAATTCAAAATTTTATACTTCTTGTGAATCGAATTAAATAGTAAAAAATAATTTACATCAATATCGTGATTGACAAAATATATTTGTCGACATTATAAGAATGCTTATTCATGTCAAAATAAGCTTACTTTATGTTGGGCATATTGTATCTTCAACGTGATTTTGAGGTATCGTCATCGGACGTAAAACGAACGTCGTGTCACACTTGCTGTGAAGTAATCAGATCGGTTTTACTAGAATTTTTAAGAATCGACGGTCCGGGGAGTTTCTGAGCAGATGGAATGACGCTGGGTGGTGGCACCATCATCGGCTGACCGTTCATCAAAATAATCGTATCCCGCACCGGGTCATACGCTTCTAGAGTTGCAAGATATTAACATTATAAACATTATAATTCAACGTTTAAAATCATTGTCATTTGAGTTAATAAAGAATTGTTACCTAACGAAGCCATCAAAGTTCTGGAAGGCGTCAAAGAATTTTGCGACGCTGGTCTCCACTTGGATGTTGGCTGCAACAATATGTGTATACGGTTCCATATGTTCTTTTTCTTATCCTTGCCCTTTTCTTTCTCCGCTTTTTGGCAAGATCCCTTATCGTCAAGCTCGTTATCATCGTCATTGTCATCCTCATCCTCATCATCGTTGTCATCTTCATTATCATTATCGTAAGATGATCGCCAACGTCGTCCCTTTAGCTGATTCTGTATTCATCACTTTTCGTATAACATTCATCAACGTGGTGTGTTATTAGTTAAGAAGAACGTCTCAACTTACTATAAATAATCCAACAATTACGAAAACGGGAAGCATACTAATAACACAACCTAATATGTCTGCCCATATCGGATAAATGTAAGCTCCATATTTGAGCTGCTCCAACTCAAACCAGTTAAAACAAAGGATAAACATCAATGCCACGGGCGTGACGATCTTCCACATCCATGTCCAGAAGAATCTCCATAAACGGCCTCGAGGTCCGATCATCTGTTGAACATCATCCAAAAAGCGATCCGCACCGTACAGCCACGCCACAATAATACATTCGGTTTGGGCGATTAGCAGGACACACGTACTCGCCGCGTACTTGTCCATTAATTGCAGCCAGTACATACCAGCCTAAAGAGACAAAGATAATTGTCGCAATAACATATTAAAAATCAATTCTATGTCAATGAAATGAAGTTGTTGAAGACAACTTAGACTTACATTGGTCGTGAAAATGACACCACCAGCATATCCGAACACCGCAACCCCTAGGACGACCCATACTTTGTAGCTTCTCAATGACGGAACACCATCAAGTATTGCTGTAATGACGGTCTCCATGAGAGCGAACTGTGAATCGAGGCCCAAAGTGAGTAGCATGAGGAAGAATAGCAGCGACCAGATGGGTGCGACCGGCAGACGAGCTACAATCTACGCATAATCATGTAAAGAATCGTCGGTGATCCTGGAACATATACTCGAATGCCTACCAGTATAAATCGATGAGAAAATGTAATTTATTTTGTCTAATCATTCTGTTTTACAAAAAGAATGATGTTAGAAATTGATGGAAAAAATGCGAGATTGATTTGATCGAAGCTTAAAATCAATAATCACCTCTGGATAAACTATAAACGCCAACCCAGCGCCTTCATCTACCACCGATGCCACTGGTACGTCGAGCTCGTGAGCAAGGAAACCGATTACCGAGAAGATCACCAGGCCGGCAAAAAAGGAAGTCCCGATGTTGCTGATCGCCACAATTAAAGAGTCCTTGTAGCAATTGTTGGTGAACTTATTATAAGAACTCAAAGTGATCAGGCCGCCCCAGGCTGGACTCAAAGCGAAGAAAATCTGAACGGCAGCGTCTCCCCATACTTTGGCAGATGTGAGTCTCTCCCAATCAGGAGTTAGATAGAAAAGTATACCCTCGTTAGCACCAGGAAGTAAAATTCCACGAATAAAAAGGGCAATCTATAAAAAAAAATTCATTTATTTAAAATACACTAAATTAATCACATATACGTTAAAATTGTGAACGTACCAGAACAACATACGGAAAAAGAGCGGTGAAGTATACAACTTTGCCTGAGCTTTGTACGCCTTTGCTCAAACAAAGAAAAACAATGATCCACGCCAGGAAGAGGCTAATTGCTATAGATGGTCGAATCGAACCAGTTTCTTCGATTCCGCTGCTAATCCCCAAAACATGATTGCTAGACGCGAAGAAATATTCTGTCTTTTATTTCTTATTTAAAATTATTACTCTTCACAACATATTGAAGACAGAAGAAAGTTATAAATTCATGCAATATGTAATATTGCAAATAATTTTTTAACTAAAATTACCTATAATTTTTTTCATCGATAAAAAAATTAAATTTTTAATTATTAAAACTTATTAAATTATTAAATTAACGAGACTCGTAATAACAGATTGAACAAAACGCAATTAAAAACATATTGATCTATATGATGTATGTTATTACTGAAAATATTCCTCGGATGGCGGTTTTCTGATAGCGCCGGTTATATTCTCGATGATCAGACCCATCGCAGTCATTTGAGTTGAATTGATGCATTTTCCTTTGAAGTAAGAAGCATTTTGAGAGGCACAAGCCTCGGCAGCGTCCGGCATAAAGCAATCCTCGGTGCTCCATTCCTTCTCGCATTTGCTCCAAGGTAACTCCCAACCACCTGCGCAAGGAACTCAAATAATTCTTTGAAAAAACAGTAATTTCTATTTTTAATACGCCTTTACTGTTATATATAAACAGCTATTCAAATTTATTATTTTTTTACCAATCAATAAATCAGATTATACACAGAATATCCTACGTATTAACGTTATTATTTACCATTGACTGAGGCAAACATGTAATATAGCGTCCAGGCGATAATTAAATTATAATAGAGCATGACAACGGAACTAACGAGAACCATTGCATATCCTAAGCCACGAAACAAAGGACAAAACTGTTTGTAAGCCTCCACCGGTCCGAGACTAGCGTACTGTCCTGCGGAATAAAAAACAATATACATAATATTTATATATGTCATGATAGCGCAAATAGCACTATGAATTTCAAAATGTTCCATTGATTTCTTTAATCACCTAAGGAAAGTTCTATGAACATAAGAGGCAATCCGGCGGTGATGAGCATTACGGTGAATGGTATCAGGAAAGCACCGCCGCCATTCGAGTAGCAAAGATACGGAAATCTCCAGACATTTCCGAGGCCTACGCTATATCCCAAAAGGGACAAAAGAAAATCGAATTTTCCTGTCCAGGTTCCGCGTTCCGGGTGTTCGTCCTCGCCACCCTGCAAGGGTGCTTGACTATTCGCTACTGAATATTTATCCTCGTTCTAAAAAAAATCGACGACTATATTTTAATAATATATACTTAACAATTTTAAACGCTTTTGTACGATATATTTGTCCGCGTGATATACTATCTGTAAAAATATTTATTAAATTAATGTGAACTTTGCTTACATCCCAGTCCACGTAAGGACGTAATCTTGAAGATGTTTCTTCCATTCTCTAAGCATATGATCTTTTGATATGGTCTCCGTGATATTAATTATTTCTTCGTTTTCTTATGATTACCAAGTCGCTCTCATAAAGTTCAATATGAATTATTAATTTTCTTTGGTGAGCGAAATTTTTACGCATCCATTTCTTGTCCTGTATACAAATTTTTTCATTGAATACTATTTTGTTACTGATTACGTTACTGACTTAGCTTCATTAAATTTATCTACCATTGAACATAAAATCTTAATTTATCTTCATTTATCTTATCGTAAAGATCACAAGAAAGCAAGCACTTTCTTACGAGCGATACACTCATACCCTTTTTTATTATCTTTATGTTTAAAATCACTGTACACTGCTAAACAATAATTATACACGCTCTAATCGTTATTATCGCGTTAACACTACATAAATGCACGCTCATTCACAATCAGGCAATTGATACATAAACACAATTGATACATAAACATAATTGATACTAAACAGTAAAACTTTTTTCTTTGATTGAATTAAAGAAAATTGTTGTTTTGTCTTATCCACTAAAGAAAAATAAACCACAAACAATTGAGCGTGTTTATTGGGATTTTAAATCCAGAGTGAATCTCGCTAAAATTTAATTATGTACTTATTGTTAGTATTTATATATTGATCTTACAAATACTCTTTTCAGAAATCTAATGCAAAAAATTAATTATGTAATCGAATTTTAATTGATTTATGATTGATGGCTTTTAAATTAGCATCTGATAATGCGAAATAATTACACGTATTACGTTTAATATCGTTCATATTCGATAATTTATCGTTAGATAATTTAGCGTAAAATGTATCAGTATAATAGCGTATGCAGATACTTAAAAAAATGTCAATAAGAAAATATATACAAAAATAGATAAAAAAAGCTTTGCATATGTCAAACACGCGCGTTAATTGAAAATGCAATTATATAATAAAAAGACACGTGTCTCTTTTTTATATTCTTTTTCTCTCTATTTAACAACACATCGAAAACTCTTCAACATTGAAGAAAGATAGTTCTATACTTTTTCCGGTAAATCAATTTTATTGAGTTAAAATTCAGATTCACCAACTATAAAATTTACATATTCCTTTTGTTACTTTTGTAATCCCGATATTTCGGATAAAAAAAATCACTTAAACTAATTAAAATTGAACGATGACTAATATAAAAATGAACAAATCAGACATAAATCCATGAATCCCGATTTAAGATAATACTTATCATGTCTTTAACATCCAAAACCACGTACGTTCATATATCCGCTTAAATACGCCAAGAACAGGTTGAATACCGCCGGTTATCAGCTGATAACCGCCGACAGCACTGACCTACCTGTCAGCCTTAACAGTGTAGCTCGCCAAGGTCAAACTTGCACTGTCACTAGATTTCAAGGCCGATGAGTGGCAGATCCGAGCCGCAGTTGCGAGAGGACAGGAATCCGGAAGAAAGAACATAAGAAGAAAATGAAGAAGAGTACAAGACCGGAAAAAATAGAAAAGAAAGAAGGCCAGAGGCGAATAGACACAGGCGAACAAATAGAGATAAGTGTATGTGAAAGATTGATCAAGTAGCGCGAGAGCGATCCGTGCCCGGGCAGCTGACCGGCCTGTCTGTCTGATTACAGGAAAGCTTTTGCTACATACGGCCCTCTTCGCCTCTCCGGAGAGCTCGACCCTGCTCGACACTCCTCTATCTCGCCCCCGCATTAGGAAACCGAGACCTGTCGAGCCTCGAACTCCACTCCGGATCGATCGATATTACTGCTCCTGCGAGCTGCTGTGTGCTCTGCTCTAAACCTTTGCACCCTCTCTCTCGCTTTGGCCATCCTCTCGGTAACATACGATTGGCCCAGGTTTATCCTCGAAGAGAGTGATGTAGGTATTTGCATCTATCCTTGTGGGTTGATCGCGTGGGAGGCATAAAGATAAAAGGCAAGATTTTCTGACATTGGTTTTAACATGATTTTCGATCGCTAAATGCTTCATCATCTGACACTTGCAGACTTCCTTTTAGACATTTTCCATTAGTACTAATAATGAGAATAGTATAAAAGAGAAGATTAAAAACTCTTCTTAGCGGTTGAAAGTTGAATTTTAATTTCCTTCTAATGCAAAATGAGGACTTTATTTAGCTTTTCGGTGATATATATATATATATATATATAAATATGACTATCAGATGATTAGAAAACTAATCATCAACCATTGATTAAAAATTGTAATTGTTAATCGTTTATTTGAATAAATTCTAGGCAACTTCAGAATACCGGAAAAATATATAACAATTAAAAAGAACAGCATAATTTAGTTTCCATTAATGGAAACCTTGCGTAACGCTACTGAAAACAATTTACTTTGATTTCTCACAGAAAGTCGTCGACGTATTGATTTCCGATGAGTAATTGTCATCAAATAGAATCCGCTTGTTCTCCTGAACAATGAGCAATGAGATCTTTCTTGCGTGCGAATTGCTACTTTCGCAATTCATCTCGTTTCACGCATTACTTTCACATCAATACACGTAGGAAATTTTCTTCCATCGATTTCATACTTGTTTAAACAAATGCGACCTGACAGTAATTTCCTGTCACGTCTTTTTATGAGAATTTTAACTGCGATGGAAAATATTAAAGGTCTCCATGGATCAATGAGCTGATGGAACGACGTTCTAATCCTATTATAGTAAAACAATACGAGTATTCATGCAAGTCGCACATTTTATGAATAACATATGTATATTTTTAACGGAAAAAATAAATAAATAAAGTATTAATATAAAAAATAAATAATATTTTAATACAAGATTTAGTACAATTTTTTGTAATTATTTGTACAATTGTCTGTAATTATCGTAACAATGAATGATAATGATTATTATGACAATCCCAATAATTATGTATAGACGTTTAAAAAATAAATTATTACAACTAGTTAAAAATAAAATTTTTAATTAAATAATTAATATTTTATTTCTTTTTGTCACAAAATATATTAAAATAAATTACTTTATTTTTCAAGTATAAGATTAACTTCAATTTCGATTTAATTTATTTTAACTTATTTATTTATTTAATTTATTTATTTAATTTGTTGCTAACTCTTGGAAATAGAAAAAGTTAAATAGTCTCTTACATTTGTGGAATCGGGCCTAAATGTCTAATAATATAATACATATATTTAATAAATATATAGGTAATAATAAAATACAATATATTTAAATTATACATATAATTATTAAAAATATATAATACATCATATTATGTTATAATTGTAATCACATCTTTCCAATGTATACGTGTGCATCGCGCAAAAATTTAAATCGCTCGACAAATCGAGAGATCGATATGTCACAACGATCGCGCGCGATCACGATAGATCGAGAGTCATCGTGCACCACCGCGATAACTCGTGGCTCCGTTGCTGATCGCAAACGGTAGACGTCAGTAGACACATAAAGCAAAAGAGACGGCGGTGGTTCTTTTATTCGAGCGAATTCTCTGATTTTCGCGAGCCGATTGGAGTTCGCGTCGAGTCCTCGTCACATAAATCGGGACGATTAATTTAGCCGTCTATTATCCTAACCTCCAAAACACTCGAATTCTCGACATCGATATTTTCCCTTTGAAAATCGTCTTAAATCTCTCTCTTTCTCTCGATCTCGCTCCCTCTTCCTCTCTCCCGCAGTTCCATCCATCTGTCTTCTCTATCCAGCGTGCTTCGTTCTTCCTATTTTCATTCCCTATGTTTTTCTATTGCCTTTAAACTCTATCCATCTCTCTCTCTCCTCCGCTCCTTTCCTCTTTCCCCTCCGTGTCTCTCTGACGTATTGAAAAGTATCCCTTGTCTGCTGTATAAAGAATCCTGATCATCGTCAACACGCGACGTTTAAAGAACACACACGGTGGACAGACGAGCATTGTGCGACGTTTCGCTCCGCGGAAGTCCAACTTGTGGTGCCGAGATTGCCGAGCGGCGGGGATCCCGGCGTGGTGTCGCGTAGACGGCGATAATTGCTGCGCGCGACGATCGGATTGGAGAATTGGAGTACGGTGACGAGCTCGCGGTGGCCACGGCTCAGCTTCCTGTCGCCGAGCAAAACAGGCAAAATTCCGACGATTTACGGTCTATGAGCGCCAAGAGTCAGGGGGACCCTGGAGAAGATCACGTTTCCAGGTGTCACGAGAGTTGGTTGCGTCCTTTAGCGTCCGCCCATAAAAGAGAAAAAAGAAAAAAAAATAAGAAAGAAGGAAACGCTTGCTCCCTTTCGCAGGGAGTAGCGTGTCGTCGCGTGCCTGACAGCGGATCGTTCCAAAAAGTTTATGTGATCGAGAGACAGACGCTCGGTTCTCCGAACATCTCCGATTCGTACGCGTGTTAAAATCGATACGATCGGCGGATCGAGATGTTCTCGTGAAAAATTGTGGAGGTTCTTTGCCGCCTTCTGTCTTTTCTCTCGCCTTCCTTGGCACGATCTCCCTTTCTTGAGCTCTCCTCCCATTCCGTCTCTCTCATTCTGACTCGTTCGTACAAAAGATTTGTTTACAGCAACGTAGTACTTTACTTTCGTCATGTGAGATCGCGAAATCGTGAGGCTGTCTATTATTAGCGTTTTTGTTTTGGTGCAACGACACTGATACATCTTATGTTCTAACATGTAGATTAATTTCTTTAAACTTTAATTTATCTTGTATCTTTTTCCAGTTCTAAGAATTATGTTCATTTCTATCAATGTAGATTAATCCTAATTTCGATTCGACTACTCTTCATCTTTTTCTAGTTATTAGGGAATTATTCTATGATATTTGTTCTTTAATAGTTTTTTTTTTTTGAGTTCAGTTTTAAATATCTTATAAAATTCGATGACTAGATACTTTTGTATAGATAGACGTGAGAAATGACATTTGTACAGGCATAAAAACTGAATGTTTTTTTTAGAAACATATTGAACATATCTCTAGTTTTAGGCAGTTTTGTGGAAATTTACGAATAAAATTTTATAAATACATTTATTTATAAATACATTTATTTATAGTCGTGCAATAGGAAGTATTAAGGATTTAGTTTACATATATTTTATGTTGTACTATCATTTTTATAGGGT